GGACGGACGGACGGACGGACGGACGGACAGACAGACGGACAGACAGACAGACAGACAAGACAGACAAGACAGACAAGACAGACAAGACAGACAAGACAGACAAACACACAGACAAACACACAGACAAACACACAGACACACACACAAATAAACACACAGACAGTCATCACCCCCCTCCCTTCCTCTCAGAATGGAAACAAAAAATAAAAGGTGCCCGGAGCAAGTGAGAGGAACAGAGCTCGCCCACCTGTTTGCTGTGCCAGGGTGGTGGTGTCCGGCCAGTCGCTGTTGTAGTGGCGCTGTGGGTGCAGTCCCCGCTGCACTCGGATCATTTCCTCCGTCTCTCTCAGAAAGTCGATTTCATTTTCTGCAAAGAAAGAGAGGGGGGGGGAGATCATGGTGTTAATGTCACTGGAAAGTTGCTGAGACGAATTCATATAGCGTAAATGAGTGGTCGAATACCTCCCAGTTCACCACACACACAAAAACTTCACGCCCCTTCCCCTCCCTCCCTCCCTCTCTCTCTCTCTCTCTCTTTCTCTCTCTCTCTCTGTCTCTCTCTCTCTCTTTCTCTCTCTCCTTCCTTCTCTCTCCTTCTCTCTGTATCTATGTACGTATCCGTGTATTTCTGTATCTACCCATCTACCTATTTACGTCTGTACGTATCTATTTACGACAGACAGACAGACAGACAGACAGACAGACAGACAGACAGACAGACAGACAGACAGAGGCGTAGATAGACAATGTCTGTGAACAAAGCCCCTGCGACCATAAACCTGTGACGACGACGACTTGCGATAAAGAACAAGAACCTGTGTGTACGGAGACGCAATAATAATTATCTGCCGCTGCTGGTTTTCGACCCGAGATAACCTTCCGGCGGTGAACGATATTTTTTGGAGAAGTGACATTCGATTACTTCTAAAAATAATGGACTCTTGTTGCGTTTCTCCTCCGCACTGGTGCGGAGCTTCCGGGTATTGTTTTCGCGTTCAGTCCCTTCTAAACGTCTCAGGAGGGATTTACGCGGTGCTCTATAAATAGGTTACAAACTAGGAGAAAAGGTGCGTAAGACTCACTAGAGAAGATAAGTACTTTTATCTCGAAGAGTTGAAGAGAACTATGTGGTATACAACTGGTTGTTTAAAGATGGGAAAAACGAAATAATATGCAAAACATCTCTCTCTCTCTCTCTCTCTCTCTCTCTCTCTCTCTCTCTCTCTCTCTCTCTTTCTCTCTCTCTCCCTCTCTCTCTCTCTTAAAACTCATCTCCATTATCACACTTCCCTTGATGAATTCAAGGAGATTCACAATGGTCATGGTAACGTTGGAGGGTTTTGAGTCTTTGTTGTTTGTTTTAGTAGAGGTTTTACGGCGCTCGCAACTGCATACGGTCATATGAGCGCCAGAAGATTAGAGGTGTTACAAGAGAGTAACAAACATAAAAAAGAAAAAGGGGAGATAAGGACGATAGATGTTTGATAGGAAAGAAGAAGCAGACCACACCAGAGCACCCGCCAACCACCCGCTTTGAGTCTTTGGCGAGGAAGAAACGCTAAACATAAACTAATGTGAGACCCCCAATTCCTACAATAAATCAAAAGCATCTTAGGCGCATGGCGTCGTGGCGACTCGCATTTGGTCCCACTTGAGAGTTGAGACCCCGGCGGTGTGTAGTAGGCAAAGTAAGCTCCGAAAGGAGGGATCAAGTTTAGTTTTATCGAACAAACAGGTAGGTGCACGACCAACCTCACCCTGGGCTCACAAAGACGAACAGCGTCCGATTACGTTGTGCCCTTATATAATATTTGTCGGAAGGGTTAAGGAAAGAGTGGTACTTCAGAACAATAACGGTCATTTTTAGCACAGGTGAAA